TATCTGAGTTATGTTGGGAAAGCATTTGAAGAAAACCAAATTATATAGACAATCATAAGTGTAAAACCATCATGATGTAGAGAAATCTTTTTTCACTCTATGTATCTTGAAACTAGTTATAGAAAAGCCATTTGGACTTTGAAAATGAGAGCATCACCTTAGTTTTTAGAGTTTGTGAGACTCCAGGCTGAGTGATATAAAGGAGTTGGAATTGGTAGGTATTTTCAGCCTCTGATTTAATATTCTTTCAAATTGCACTGACATCATAATCATTTCTCTTCAATGAAAGCAGAGGGAAGCCAAAATAGTTTCAGTTTCACTCTGCTTTAATGGTAAATGCCTATCCTTTTGCTGATGTCCGCTATGAAATGATCATTCATGCTGCCATCACGTGAAATGAATCAACTAAATCAAAATATTTTTCATAGGGGAATAGCCGAGGGAACTGAAAGAAACAGCAGGCTGGACTTCTCATGCTGAGCTATTTTTGGATGGCCTTCTTCAAGGATCAATTTAAAGCAAAGTTCTACAACAAAGCTTTCTTCAATGAGGCAGAAACATATGCAGAACCCACACATACTAACAAAAGTAGTCACCTGACTTACTGTACAACGTACACATTTTATCCTCTATATCATAATAGTTGCCAGGAACAGTATTTAAGAGGTTAATGCATGGTGCATTTATCACTCATTCCCTTATACACTGTTTTATCAAAAGATCTTTGACAGATGTACTGTCTTTTTGTTCATTCATCTCGTTGTCCATTCTTTCATCTTCTTAGCAACCCATTTTTATATTCACTCATTGATTCATTTAACAAAACTGCATTGGGTGCCTTAACCAAATACATGCATATGATAATAATCTGTCTCTCTGCCCATTCTTCAGTTAGAAGTCTCTGAGAAGAGAAAAACAGAAATAAATAACTGACCTCCGATGGCCTTGGTTTGGAGACTTTCGTATCACCCCTTCTTTTTGAGTAGATGGCATATCAGAATTTCAAGCTTGATATATTTCCTTTGGCCAATCTTAGCCTTAAATCATTGTCTTTTAAGTCTGGACAAATATATTTACCTTGAAAAGCCTGTAGTTATTTTCAAGTGAGGGGCAAGATAAGAGATAACAACAAACTGAAAAAATAATTATTAAGGCATTTCTCACTCTCACCACTGCTTGTTCTTCAAGTGTGTGTGTGTGTGTGTGTGTGTGTGTGTACGTGCACTCTCATGCCATTCATCTGGAATAATTGTCTAGCATTTTGGTTCTGCTTTGGAAGCTAAGGAATGTGTTGAGTTTTGGAATTCCTTTCATGTGGAAAGAATCCAGCTCCCGAGGTCTGTTGACGATGGACAAACACTCAACACAGAAAGACCATAAGGAAGGCTTCCATTTTCAGTTTGCTTAAGGAGGTCTTGGTAGAAGCACCCGAAGGCAGTGTTTTCTATGACAATGACAAGGACTTGGACCAGGTCTTAAACTGTTGATGTAAATTCAACTTTAATAAATTTAAATTTATTTTCTTAGGCTGTGGCTCAACATCCTCAAGCATGTTCTGCTTTGGAATATCGGGTATTGTTTTTCTTCCTTGTGTTCCAGTAACACTTACTACAAAAAAAAATTACTCTCTGCCATAGAAAGGTCAAAAGAATAGAAACTGTTTACTTCCATGTCACATTTACTTCCATGTTAGTGGCACATTGATTCATGGATATCAATGGATAGATGACTGAGTGAATAGAAGCCTGGATGTGTGATACATGAATTAAATGTTTTGTACAGATTTAGAGAGAAATCAGTGATTTTTATGAGATTTAGCAGACTTCAGATTTATTGTCCCCATTCTAGATGAATATTAATTTTGTTAATATGGAGTATACATATTGTTGGAGAAAGAAAAATAATTGAATGCTCTGATAATGATAATCAGAGATGGGCCAGTGTGAAGATATTGGTAGTGGATTGTAATGGACACAGTCAAGAGATGAAAGTAGGCTTGCCTTTTGTTGTTTCTTTTCATATATTTGCTGTCTCTGATTTTAATATTTTTAAATATTTATTTATGTATGCATACAAAAACTGGGATACAGGCCAGAGGTGCTTGGGGTGAGAGGATTCACCAGAGACAGAGTGGGGAGCAGAACAGGCAGACTGACTAAAATACACTGCTGAGGTGAGCAGCGGGCAAGACAGGAGAGGTCTGCTGCACCCTGTGGGTATCTCCCTGGCCAGGGATTGAACTCGTGCTGCAGTGGCTGTGGATAGCTTCACAAGTTATGTCTTAACCCCTTGCGCCACCAGGGAGGCCCCTGATTTTAATATTCTATAACTCTTTTAATACAAATTTTCAATGGCTTCCATACATCTGTAATCAGATGCTAACTATAACCTTAGAAAGCCACACTTAACCTGGTCCCAGTTCACATCATTGGTTATCTCACCCCATATCTTGCTACACTCCAGAGGTGTAGCATCTCTCAGGGCTTTGGCATAGGTCTGCCTGGATTTCTCCTCTCTCATCTGCACTTGGAGGATCTTTCTTCATCTTCAAATCTCCACTTAATAATTCCTCAGACATACTTTCCTCGGACACATTCAAATTGGCTCCCTAGTCACTCAGTAGCATTTGATCCTATTTTAATTCTCTGCATCAATCGTAACATGTTGGAAATGTCACAGGCTCCCACTGAGCCTGTCTGAGTGTAATCCTGACACTAGTTAAGTAGGTAAGAAGTTGTTCTGGAAGCACTTTGCCAGCCCTTGCTTTTTTCTTTTTTTTTTTTTTAAGATTTATTTTTATTTATGCATACACATACTGGGATGTAGGCCAAAGGTGTGGGGAGTGAAAGGATCCACCAGAGACAGAATGTGGAGCAGAACAGGCAGATCCACCAAAATACACTGCTGAAGGGAGCAGCGGGCAAGACAGAAGAGGTCTGCTGTGCCATGTGGGTCAACTTCCTGGCCGGGGTATAGATCTCCTGCTGCAGTGACTGGCTATAACTTGATAAACCTGGAACTTTAACCTCTGTGCCACCAGGGAGGCCCAGCCCTTGCTTTTCTATTAGAATTCAAGTTATTCCATGGACTAAATAATTATCTCCATTATCTTTTCTTATTTCCTGACTTAGAAAATCCCTGTATTTGTTACATGACAATAGATAAAGGACACATTTACTCACTGATCACAATTCAGAATTTTCTCATTATTGTGTACTTTTAAAAATCTATATCCTTCCACGAGAATGTATTTTCCATGAGGGCATGAACTTTGCTCTGTTTACTGCCGTGTCCTTCATGATAAGGCACGACAATAGTAGGTTCTCCATAAATATTTGTTAAATAAATGAACCATTTTTTTAACTGAGTCAGAGAATTTTTTTTTAAATCTTATCAAGACCACTTGATGATTCTATATATTATCTCCATTTTACAGATGAAGAAACTGGATATTAGAAGCATTGAATAGTTTTCCCAGGTTGCAGAGGGAATAATCACACAATAAAAGTGAAAACTCCTCATGAATTCATTTCCCATAGTATTGCAAAATAAATTGTTGGATTTACCTTCTCTCCAAATGTACCTTTAACTTTAAGAGCTAATAATAGAGTGCTTAAGAGCACAGCATCTGGAGCCAGACACATAAGCTCACATTCCTACTACCCCACACTTCAGTTGTGTGACCTTGCATCACTTTTATAATTTCTAAAATAAAGGTGGCTTGGGATTTGAATGAGTGAGCACATCAAAAGCATTTGGCACATGATAGGTACTCTGGAAATATAACCTATTCATTATTATTATGATTATTTGTTATCATTAGATTGCATGATATTTATGAGTATTTTGATACCTGTCTAATAATTAGATATTCTCAATAAACTATTTGCCAATATTTTATATGTGAAACATTTATCATACTCTATGTCAACATACATTTGTGCCCATATTATAAAGTGGATGGCGATAAAGTGAGTACAGGAATTGTGGTTTTCTGACATAGGTGATCTTCATGAGTACTGTAACTTTTAGTCAGTATTGTTTTTAATTAAGAAAAAGTTCTCCCAGGCCTCCTGGGTGGTGGAGTGGTTTGAGTGCCATGCTGTGAAACTGTCCGCAGCCTCAGCAGTGTGGGTTTGATCCTGGCCCACTGGTGAGAATCCCACATGGTGCCGCAGACCTCTCCTGTCACGCCCACTGCTCCCCTCAGCAGTGTACTTCTGTCATCTGCCTGTTCTGCTCCATGCTCTGTCTCTGGTGAATCCTCTCACCCTCCCGCACCTCTGGCCTGTAACTCAGCTCTTATATAAAAATAAATAAATCTTTAAAAAATAAATTTATTTAAAAAATAAATAAATCTTTAAAAAAAAATTTCTTCCTTAAATTAAACTTGTATAACTTAGACTTAGAGAATGTCTAGAGATGACCTCAGCCAACTCTTATTTTGTAAGTAAGGAAATTGATAACAATAGTTGCAAAGCCACATTGAACATCAATGTCATGAATATTTGGGCCAGAACTAGAGGCAAGGTGGCCTGAGTTCTAGTCTTAGGTGATTTCCAGCCTCACCCTGGCACTGAAATGCCACCAAATCATTAATGGAGAAAAGCTTTCCAGCTAACTGATAGTTATGAAAATGTGTTCAACATCTGCTTAGTGCAGAGCATGAACTCTACAACTGCTCAAGAGTCCTCCCCATCATAAAAATGATAATAATGATTCCATAAGTGAATCTGAGGTCATGAAAAGCTGCCCATACTTAGAAGAAATTAATGATATTGAAAGGATATGCGATCGATTTTAAAGGACTCCTTCTCTGATTCCTTGAACTGTAATTAGTGGCCTAAAGCTACTAGCCACAGCAATCTGGGTCTTCCTACAGCAAACAGCTGTCTTCTTTTTTTAGGAAGAGCTATATAAGGCATGCAAACCACATGGACTTCCTTTGAAGCAGCTACAACTTTTGTCAATACTGTCTTTTATCTTTCTTTCTCTGTCAGACCCTGTGAGGAGAGATCTTATCAAAGAGAGAATCAAAGGAAGCTTCTGTGTTACGATTTCCCAGACAACTTTTTGGAATTCTGAAACATGGAGCCAGATTCCTGACCATCATGATGAGGGTATGCACTAATGATTGCTCCAAAATATCTCCAGGCTGTGTGGGCAAAAGCCAAACAGATCTGTCACCTTTTCTTTGTGTTTTCAGAAGTTGAAGATCCTTGTCACTTTTTTTAATGTGTAAATGTTGCTTGTTCATCCTCTTGCCCAGAGGCATACTTTGGGGATTCATAGGTAAACAGGAAATACTTTCAACAGAACTCTAAAAAATCGTTCTACTTTGGCATAAGGACTTCAAAAAAACCTCAGTCATTCAAGAAGCTGGATCACCCTTTTTATCAGATGAAAAATAAATATGGCAATATTGCTAAGATGGTTATTGTTAAAACTAAATCCAGAAATTGTATGTGATAGTGTTATATAAGAACACTGTCAAGGACGATTTTCTCACAAATATCCCACTTCTGAATTTAATATGAATCTGTAATATAAGAGTGTTTTGTTGTTGAAAATGCAAATTGAAATAGAGATGGACTTAAGTCAGGATTCTTGGTTATATTCAATGGAATATTATTGTGGTTAATTTAAGAAAAAAACATTAGGAAAAAAATCAAGAAGACTGAAGAACATGGCGCTATCTACATGGAATTCAAAGGAACATAATCATGGTTCTCTCAAAGGGATGATGGCCAAGACTTTCCTGTACATGAGAAACTGTTCTATGACCATTAATCCATTCAATTTTTGAATCATTATTATGGGATAATGACTATTATTATTTCTGATTTTAAGAACGAAAATGCTGAGGCAGAGTTGTTAAAAACTTTTGTCAAAGGACATTAATATATTAAATGGCAGAGCTGGAACAAAGTCAAGGACAAGCCATAGGTGCTTGTCTCATCATCATGTTTACTGCCACTGAGCACTGCGTGCTACAAGCAAAATGAGTCCTAAACTAGTCCTTGACTTTGCATGGCTTGTTCCAGATTCATATCGTAGGTGTGGCTACTTCTCATTTGTTTTCACTCTTCTGGGAGATTAAGAAGCAAATCACTAGTTTTTGATGATTGGACTCATGCAATAAATTTCTTAAAACTAGGAATGAAGTTAAGATGATTAGCAGCCAAAAAAATAAAAAGGAACTAAGGAACTTAACAGTCACTGCTCTCTATAACAGTAACTACTAATAACCTTGGATGAAAAATCTAGGTCCTACTTAAAGACTACCATGCAATTTAGTAAAATTGCAACTGTGGATAACATTAATTGATTGCAAATGTTAATGAACCTTGTTTCTAAAAGATATCATTTTGAATTCTATACCAAGCATAAACAATTTGTAATCAGTTAAAAGAAGAACCGAAGGGAATAATTGCATGCTTTGAATAGAATCTTTAAAATCTGTTGAGAACTAATACTATGGGACTTTGACTCTAATTCATAGCAATTTCTTCCAATATAAACTTGAAGGTTAGATAATACAAGAAGTGAATGGAGGAAAAGGGTTGGGAAGAAGAGTGAGTGAACGAGATTTCTACTGGAGAATGCTTTTGACATGGTCCAGTTACTGCGTCACGACTTCATGTTTCTTAATCTTGGCAATAGAATAAAGTCTTCAGCAGAAGGACCTTTTTCAAGTCCAAAAACATGACACTTCAGAGCTCTAACCATAACTTTTCTTTTTATGTCTACAGGATTTACAGTGTTTGCAGATGGAAGTAATTTAATACCATGCTGATCTTTCATCTAGCCTGTTCCTTTCAGTGACCTTATGTTTACTATAAGAAAACACCAACAAGGTGTCTGATTTCTTCATGGAAAAATGGCAACTATTTAAAACAAAAGGATTTTGTCCAGAAGAATCATAAATCTTTCACTGTTTCTGTAATTTAACAAAAAAGGCTCATTTGTTCTGGGAGGAGTGTTTGCCTGTGAGACAAGGCCAATTTGACTTTCTCATAAAAAATGCATTTTTTGAGATGGGGGAAGATAGCAGTAGAATAAAAAGTCACTGTTCTATCTATGGCAGGAGAAGAAAATCTTTTCATTTCCATGGCTTTGCCTCAAAGTGTCCATAAGTTATTATTGTGAAAGAAAACCTCAGAATCCTTCCTGGCATTTCCCAGGATGCTTTGAAAATAATAGCAGGTTCTTTGTGCTCTTCACACATCTCTGCTTGAACATGTGTGGTTCCTGCTGATTTTAAAGCCTATTATGCACCCCCAGAAAGTAGACTCATCTTGGGATGAGACAAGCCCTTGGTAACCACAGTAACACACCTTTCCAGGGAATCTTCCCATCGACATTTAATAGGTCGAGTCATAAATAATGAAATGAAATCTTTCAGCAGAAGACCAGAAGCTGCAACTGGAACACTCAGGAAATGGATAACAGCTGCCTTTCAGGTGATGAGATGCAAGATGCTTCCCTATATTAGAGGCAGTTTTTCCAATAAAAGAGATGACTTGAATCTGGAGTATCCAGTCTGTTTGCACCATAGATCAGGAAGTTGAAAATGCCAAATACTCTTTGGAGTGCAATACTGTATTTACAGACATATCGTAGATGCTAATCTAGACTATCCATTGGATTCTGTGTATGACTAACTCATTTAGGAACAATTTACAAATATGTTTTTATGATAATGAGTGGGTCTTTCAGGGAGAAATATATCACTTTACACAAAAATTATGTGTTGAGTACCTAATTCATGTCAAATGTTTTGATCCTTGGAAGTAGAGTAGCAAACAAAGCTTTGAGAGATACGAACAAGAAGAGTCCATGTGTAGTAGGTACTTGAAGGCCGACTAGCAATTAGTTAGGTGGAAAATGGAGAAACAAAGCACAGGATCCAAGGCAGAGTAAATGACTCAGGCAAGGACTCAAAGTCAGAGAAATCATAGTATATATTTGGGAACTGAAATTGCTTCAGGATGTTGGTCTCTGGCCAAAAAAATAAATCATTCAACATTCAAGAATATTCAATTTTTGTCCCTATGGCCTAGCAGGAAGTATTTTAGGTGTTTAGGGTAAGATCATCAGCAAAGCAGAGAATGTTGCTTGTCCTGGTAGAGTCTATCACACAGGCCAACCTCATGGTTCCTCTCTTCCCTCCTCCTATATTCTACTATATTGAGAGGAGTGGGAGATTATATTAGAACAGCAACCACTGCAAAATTATTGTCTTAAAATTTTAGGTTTTTACCATCCACTTTGTCTCAGTGGATGTTTGCATCAATAAAAAAATTAATGGGGATCCCCAAAAGTGCCAAGTACTATGGCAGCATAAAAATGAACTTGATCTTGGATTCAACACAGTCCCAATAAAAATCCTAGTGTGTTATTTTGTGTATATAAATTTAAAGTTTATTGGGGAAAGCAAAGACCCAGAATAGCCAGCATGATATTGAAGAAGAAGAACAAAGTCAGAGGACAGACACTACCCAACTTTAAGACTTACTATAAAGGTACTATTATCAAGACCATGTAGTATTGGTGAAAAAGTTGCAAAAAGATCTATGGAAAATATGGAGCCTGGAAGTGCATCCATACAAATCTAATCAACTGATCTTCGATCTTCAACAAAGGAACAAAGGTGATTCAGTGAAGAAAAGAAAGTGTTAAAACAAACCAACACACACATACACACACACACACACACAAAGTAAGCTCAGACTTTATACCTTACACACAAATTTAATGCAGAGGCATATCAAAATGTTAAATGCAAAACAAACTCCTAGAATAAAATCCAAGAAAAAAATCTAGGTGATCTTGGTTTTGGTGATGACTTTTCAGATAAGACACCAAAAGCATAATCTGTAATAAAAAAAGTTGAAATTCATAAAATTGCGACATACATATATGATAAAGGACTGTTTTCAAGACATGCAAAGCATGTCTTTTAACACTCAACAAGAAGAAAATAAACTGCCCAATTAAAAACAAACAAAATGTCTAAGCATTCATCAAAGAAGGCATGCGGATGAAAAGTGAATATAGGAAACGACATTTAATATCATTGGGAAGTAAAGCCCTAATAAGATACAATGACACATCTGTTGGAATGGAGAAAATATTTTTTAAAAAAGATTTATTTATTCATGCATATAAGAGCCGGGGTACAGGCCAGATGTGTGGGAGGGTGAGAGGATTCACCAGAGACAGAGCAGGGAACAGAACAGGCAGAGTGACTGAAATACACTGCTGAGGGGAGCAGCAGGTGAGACAGGAGAGGTCTGCCATGCTGTGTGGGATTTTCACTGGCCAGCCGGCATTGAACCCATACTGCAGTGGCTGTGGACAGCATCACAGTGCTGCGCTCAACCACCTGCACCACCAGGGGAGGCCCAGAATGGAGAAAATCTTAAACATTGCCAAATGCTGACAAGGAGGTGGAGCAATAATAACTCCTATTTGTTGTGAGGGAGAATGTAAAAATGGCAGACACTTTGGAAGACAGTGAAGTAGAGTCTTATAAAACTAAAAATACTCTTATAAAAATCTAACATTTGCATTCCTTGGCATTTGTCTAAATGAGTTGAAATTTTACACATAAAAACCTATACACAAATGTTTATTGCAGCTTTATTCATGATTATCCTGGCCCGAATTCAACCAAAATGTCCAAATTTACCAAAACTGGTAAATGGATAAACAAACTGTAGTGTGTCCAATGATGGAATATTATTCAGCTGTGAAAAATGAACTATCAAGCCACAAAACCACACTGAAGAACATTAAAAGCCTTTTGCTAAATGAACGAAACCAATCTAAAATATCTTACATACTACATGATTCCAATTATATGCCATTCTGGAAAAGGGAAAATAATGGAGACGGTGAAAAGATTAGTGGTTCCAGATATTCAAGGATGAAGAAGAGTGATGCACAAGTGGAGTAGGGAGATGTTTAGATAATGAAAGCATTCTGTATGATCGTGTAATGGTGGAGGCATGACATTATACCGTTTTGAGTTGCATTACATTTCCAGTCAATGATGGACCTCACATGGCAGTGTAGTCTGTCATATATAGTCTATCATACTCTGTATGAGAGTATAATGGTAGATGCATATCATTGTACAATTATGTGTCACACAACAACATATCTAGGCAATGATGGGCCACATATTCAGACAGTGTGCAGTAGGCTACACCATTTAGAATTGTGTAATTACACTCTATGACATTCACACAATGGCAAAATTGCCTAATGATACATTTCTGAGATGTATCCGTGTCATTAAGTGTTGCACAACTGCATATCTGTCAAAACCCAGAGAACATATGACACAAAGGGTGCATCTTAATGTAAACTGCGAACTTTGGTTGATAATTACTTGTCAGTGTTGACTCATCAATTGCAACATATGTCCCACACTAATGGAGAATGTTGATAGTTGGGAGTCTATGTGTGTAGGGGAGAGAGGTAGAAGTATATGGGAACACTGTGCTTTCCTTTCAATTTTGCTGAGAACATAAAACCACTCAAAAAACAGTCTATTAATGTAGAATAAAAGAAAAATAAGGGATCATCTTTAATGA